CGCTGCCCCTGCGACGCCAGCATCCCCACCCTGCTCGGCACCCTGGGTCTCTCCACCACCTCCACCGGCCTCCAGGGCGTCACCTCGTTCACTGGCCCCCTCTGCAAGTTCACCCCCGTGACCTGCTGATCGGCCGCAAACCCAAATCATGTGCAAATTTTGCTGTCAAATGGGGAGTGAAACCTCCCAGGTATGTCGTCCCCGTGCAGTGTTTCCCATAGTGATCTCAAGCAGGGTGAAATCGGTGTGTGCCCGAGAATGTATGTGTGTGTAAGCCGATCCAAACACTTTTGACTGGTTGAGGCCAGCGCCAGGGACATCAGCAAGAAGTGTTTGGCGAGTTCAGGGTGCTGAGGGGATTTGCCAGCAGTGTGATGCCTCTGGTGACCAGTCATCATTCTGTATGTACAATCACGGACTTCATGGGTTCTTGAAGTATACAGAGGAGGTCATGCAAAGGATACATACCCAGCGGCACAACAACAGCGCTGCTGATGGGCGCAACAGAGTTTGAGGCCTGTGCACTGGCAATCATCTTCCACGTTGTCCAGGCAGCTATTCCTCATCCACAGTGAGCACAACCTTGCCCTTGGTGTGGCCCTTGCCGACATACTCGTGGGCGGCTGCCGCCTGACCCAGGGGCAGGGTGCGATCGATGATGACCTTCACCTTCCCCTCAGCGACGAGGCCGACGATGTCTGTCAGATCCTTCCCGCTCGCCCTGCCGAAGATGGGGTGGAAAGAGGGGCCCAGGCGCGCGATGGCGGTCAGTTTCCTGTGCACATTGGAATGGTGGGGCTGGAGCTGAGTGTGCCATGGGACCGCAGCGCACATGTGCTGACCAGCACTCCACACCGCCATCACACAGGGGCAGCATCATGGCAGCATGCTGGACATCAGCCTCATGGGAGGCCCTCTCCCGTTTGCCCCACGGTGCAGCCACGCACTGTCTCAGGAAGCTGTAGGCGTGAACGGCGCGGCCCCCCCAGCCATAGTCGCGGACGTATCCGTTGCTCTCAACCGAGGCCAGGGCACCGTTGTGCTTCAGCACCTTTCGCGCCTCCCACAGATCTTTGCCTGAGTGAGTGAGAGGGGGACAGTTGACAGTCACAATAGAGACATCCTACCATGCGTTCAGGAGTCAGGGTAGGCTGTCAGGCACAGCGTGCGCTCCACACCTTACCCACCTCCGCGGCTGTCGATCACGGCATCGAATGGGTTGTCCTTGTACAGCTCCACCAGGTTCTTCTTGTGGTAGTCGTACACCTCATCCGCTCCAAGATCCTAAAAAGGTAGTTGATAGCAATAACGGCTGGACTCGTGTCTGGCATGTATGACACTGAGACCCCCCCGCCCACCTTGCACCTTCCCTCCACCCACCTTGAGGAAGTCGGCATTGGCGGGCGAGGCGGAGGTGGTGACATGCAGGCCCCGGAGCTTGGCAAACTGGACGGCAAAGGTGCCCACCCCTCCAGCCCCGGCAGAGATGAAGATGCGCTTGCCGCTCCCGGCATCGAGTCCCGTGGCATTCAGCGCCTGCCAGGCAGTCAGCCCCGCGATGGGGACCCCAGCGGCATCGGTATACGACACTTTTTCAGGAATCCGTGCCGCCTTCGAGGCAGTGACCACGGTGTACTGAGCGTACGTGCCGTCTCTCGACCAGGGCGCCCAACCATCAGCCAGACCATACACTCTGTCGCCGACTTCGAGGTCGGTCACCGTGCCCTCTGGGATGGCCGCAACAGTCCCCGCAAAGTCACCACCAGACACCTGGGTGGAAGAAGAGGATAAATGTGAGTGATGTGAGGGTAAACGATTCTGAACATCTGCTAGTTGGCCCGTTATGTCAGGGTAGGTATCCTAGCTGGTCTGTTGGCACCTTTTAAATCACATTATTCTGGCAGACTCCAACACGCCGAGACCCCCCAAGCCCGCAACGTATCGCCGCTGCGGGGTCTCCACACATCCCAAGTCATAATCAAGGAACGATATGGCTAGGAGGGTAGGAACACAGTGCAGCCATAAGCACCTGCGGCGTCTTGATGATGAATTTAGGGATGTCCTTGCCGCCACGGACGTAGGTGTCGACGGGGTTGACGCCCGCCGCTTTCACCGCCACGAGGATTTGGCCTTTGCTGGGAACAGGTACAGGCCAGTCCCTAACATCTTCGAGCACGGATGGGTCTCCGACTCTGCGGAAGACGATGGCCCGCTGTACCTTCTGATCAGTCATTCTGGGGTAAATCTGAGATCTCCGAAATGTCGATCCCTGGTTTTGATGTGACTCCTTGAAACCTGATGCGAGGCAGATGTGATATAATGGGCGATGTCAGTGCCCGTGGGAGCAAAATCGCGGGCGGGTTGCCTAGAACCGTCCTCGGTGATGGTTCGGTCCCAGCAAAGCAAATCGGGGTCTCTAGATTCCCCGAAAATTCCCTCAAGCAAATTTAACCCCAAGCCCAAATCCCAGACACCTGCGTGACCCAGAATGCATGCAACGGTCAGATATATGTAGTCCCTATGATTTGAGCAATGAAACCTGTATGGCATCGTTTATCTGCAGTCTCATGAGTGTCAACCCCACACTCATCGTTCTCGTGCCTCCCAGGAATGGCGTAGATATGTTTCCGATACTGTGGGGCACTGAGAGATTCAGTCATGATATACAGATGGTCGTGGGAAGGAAGAATCTAGTCGTGATGCAATCCGTGAATGCTGTGCACCAATCCTCGTGACTGGGACCATGCCAATCATCAATTGAGCACCACTGATTGAGCCGTGGATGTACAGGTTGGGTGGGGGAGCCCTTGGGGGCTTGCATATGCAAGTGCCTCTTGTGCACTCTTTATGTGACCCTCCCTTCAGTTGTCCTCCTCCACCAGGAGCACAACCTTGCCCTTGGCGTGCCCCTTGGTCATGTAGTCGTGGGCTGCTGCAGCCTCGCCAAGAGGGAGCGTGCGGTCTATGACGACCCTCACCTTCCCCTCCGCAACCAAGCCGACGAGCTGGGTCAGGTCCTGCCTATGCGCCTTGACAAAGAAAGGCGTGATGGAAGGGCCCAGGCGGACAGCCGCGGTCAGCTTCCTACAGGTGATGCCGGGACGCCAGGAGGGCTGGGTCAAGGGGTGCAATCTTCCGACGGCAGGGGCATGCTGCCAGAAGAGACCCGGCCATGATGTGTGCATGCCAGGTTGCATGGTCCACCAGATCACCATGGAGCGCCTTGAGGTCTCTCCTCCCCTCACCACTACACACACACGCACAGCCGCCCCTGGACCCCTGCACAAGCATCCCACGCACTGTCGCAGGTAGCTGTAACCCTGGACGAGGCGGCCGGCCCAGCCGTAGTCACGCAGGTACCCGCTGTTCATGATGTCCACCAGAGCGCCCTGGCGCTTCAGCACCCTGCGCAGCTCCCACTGCTCTTTCCCTGCAGGTGGTGGGAGCCGTTGGTCGAGGCATTCAGGGGCGCGTGGGCGATGGTGCCTGGGACCTGCCCGAGAGCAGGAGCGGTCTTTTGTGGCACAGCTCACCTCCACGACTGTCGATCACGGCATCGAATGGGTTGTTCTTGTACAGCTCCACCAGGTTCTTCTTGTGGTAGTCGTACACCTCATCCGCTCCCAGTTCCTGTGAGAAAGGTGATGAGGAGGAGGGCTGCATTGCAGTGAGGATTTTCCCAGCTTGCAAACAACCTGGGGACCCCTGGCACACGCTCCACTGCCCATGCACCTTCCCCCCACCCACCTTGAGGAAGTCGGCATTGGCAGGCGAGGCGGAGGTGGTGACATGCAGGCCCCAGAGCTTGGCGAGCTGGACGGCAAAGGTGCCCACCCCTCCGGCACCGGACGAGATGAAGACGCGCTTGCCGCTCCCGGCCTCCAGCCCCGCAACGTCCAGCGCCTGCCAGGCAGTCAACCCCGCGATGGGGATCCCAGCGGCATCGGTATACGACACTTTTTCAGGAATCCGTGCCGCGTTGGCGGCGGTGACAACGGTGTACTGGGCAAAGCTGCCGTCGGAGGCCCAGGGCGCCCAACCATCAGCCAGACCATACACTCTGTCGCCAACTTTGAGGTCGGTCTCTGTGCCCTCTGGAATGGCCGCGACGGTCCCCGCAAAGTCACAGCCAGACACCTGCAGCGGCAGGGAACAGCGCAGCATGAGGAGTGCTCAGCGCCCAGCAGGGGCTCGACCCAAAGGAGTGGGGCACCAGCGTGGGTTCATTGAGGCCTAGTGAGCGAGGACACCCTTTGCAGGCTGAGCAAAATGCACCTCATATGTGGTGGAGAGGATGCAATGGTGCCATCGCCAGGATTTCCCGCCACTTAAGGGAATGAACTGACTGCAACACCGGAGTGGCACGGCGTCCCCTCCGTACGCACCATCTGAAAAAGCTCAAACCCTCGTACTGTCATCAAACAGCCCCATCGACCCTGGCTCTCTCTACTGCCCCCCTTGCTATCCATCCTCCAACCCTTGACTACCTGTGGAAGCTTCGTGATCGCCTTGGGGAAATCCTTCCCTCCCCGAATACTCGCGTCAACTGGGTTCACACCCGCAGCTTTCACCGCCACAAGAATTTGTCCCTTGCCAGGAACAGGAACAGGCCAGTCTTTGACGTCTTCCAGCACAGAAGTGTCCCCCAGCGTGCGGAAGACGATTGCACGCTGAACCTTCAGATCAGCCATCAGATCCGTAAAGGAACCACGAAGCGGAAGTCTTCTTTTGCCTACTGTGTTCGTTCAATATATATATGTGTGTTTACGTGCCATCCCTTAATACCCGTCGTGCGGGCAAACGAAGAGGAGCTCACATAAGGGACACGGAAAGATTCGGGAAGTTCTCCCTGCGGCGTTATGTCGACGTGCAGAGGTCTGTTATAGCAACATCCCCACCACATCGCCTTGGACAAGTCATGCTGGCTTCGGAGTATTTGTGACGATGTACTGCGCCTTTGTATATTAGGGATTGCCAGGTAGAGGCGAAGAAGTTCACCACAGTGGGTGGTACTTCAAGCATAAACGCCAGGTTGTTGGTCCGTGGCGATAGGAAGCGGTCACTCCACATCTCCCAAACATGCCTTCACAATCACATGCGCAATGCGTGAGTGGCTGTACAGTGGAGAGTCTCCAACGCCATTCTTGGATGGGAGTCGTAGGTTTTGTGTGGTTTGGGGGGCGAAGGCCATGCACAAGTTGTGCAGCCAGACCCGGCACAGCGTTGTTGTAGATACGTGTTAGATCACTCTATAATGTGCTGCCAAGGTGTAGTGTGCTACTGTCTCGACAAAAGCCTGGACCATTGCTGCAAAATACTCCCCGCTACCAATCCGACAACAATTTCGCCATGGACAAGGCCAATGGCAACCCCTGTTCAAAAGTAGATGCAAGCGACGATTGGCATCTCAGATATTGTACTCAAAGGGTGCATAGGCATATCGCGGGGGACCCTTGCTCGCAGATCTTCTGGCAGCAGCCAAGCTCCTATCAAATACTCACGAGTATCATGGCCTCTAGCCTTCCCGCATATCAGAGCATATGTCAGAGTATATTGAGTCCCTCGAATAAAACTGGTGAAGTTCTGATTGCCATGCCTGCGTCCGCACCGCGCACACCCACGGAGCTCGCTGCCCGCAGCTTCGCATGCTATGACTCATGTCTCCAGGCCAGGTGGCCGCTGACGTCAGCCGGGACCGCTCGAAACCTCACTACCGATTCCTACATGCATTCATAAACCCATGACTCGGGAGATCGGGCGCATTCACGTCGAAGACTTCCACCTGAAAGGAGCATGGCTTTGGATAAACAATTGAGGTTGTAGCCCATTGTGTCGAGGTGAGATGGAGTGCGGAGTTTGGTGTCGGGGTGTCCGCTTCCTTGCAGTGCTGCTGTGCCCGGTGGGCAGCCCACGGGACGCTTGCCTCGTCTTCCCATTTTTTATTCATGGCCACATTGTCTGTTGCGGGGTGGAGGATGGCCGCATTGTGGCCGGGCACGCGTCCCTGCCTGCGCGTAGCCCCGGGTGGTTGTGGCCGGTGGACCCTCTAGTGACACGCGCTTGACGCGGCTTGGCGCTCCAGGGTACAGAGCAAGTGAGACGACGCATCATCACCCTCTCTTCATGCAGATCATTGCGACAGCCGAGCCCCAAGCCCTCCTGAGAGCCCAGTCCCCTCGACCGGCCTCCCCACGCGTCCAGCCCCACCACACACACCTGTGCACGCCATGAGCGCCCGGAAGCAGTCCCAGCCCCTGCAGCCCGCCCCCGTGGCCACGGTGGTGGCCGCCAGCCCCACCGTGAAGGCCATCGCGGGGTCCCTGGGCGGCATCATGGAGGCGGTCCTGCTCCAGCCCATCGACGTGATCAAGACCCGGCTGCAGCTGGACAGCCGCGGGCGGTACTCTGGCATCTTCCACTGCGGCCGGACCATCGCGGCAGAGGAGGGCGTGCGCAGCCTGTGGAAGGGCCTCACCCCCTTCGTCGGCCAGCTCACGCTCAAGTACGCGCTGCGCATGGGGTCCAACGCCTTCTTCCTGGAGATGCTGCGCGACAAGGAGGGCCGGCTGACCAACACCTCGCGCCTGCTGGCGGGGCTGGGCGCGGGCGTCTCCGAGGCCATGCTCATCGTCACGCCCTTCGAGGTGGTCAAGACCCGGCTGCAGCAGCAGCGCGGCACCGACAAGGCCCTACTCAAGTACAAGGGCCCAGTGCACACCGCCATGCTGGTGGCGCGGGAGGAGGGCCCCATGAAGCTCTGGGCCGGTGCGACGGCCACCACGATCCGCCAGGGCTCCAACCAGATGTCCATGTTCTGGGGCAAGTCGGTGGCGGACGGGCTGATCTGGGGCAAGCGCGACGGTGATGGCAAGGTGTTGACTCCCGTGCAGTCGGCGGCCTCGGGCTTCCTGGCCGCCTGCATCGGCCCCGTGCTGAACAACCCCATGGACGTGGTGAAGACGCGGATGCAGGCCGCCACGCGATCGGGCGCGGGCTACGCCGGCTTCGCCGACTGCCTGCTGACCGTGGGGCGGACGGAGGGCATCGGCGCGCTCTGGAAGGGGCTCACGCCGCGCCTGGCGCGCACGCCTCCCGGCCAGGCCATCGTCTGGGCGGTCAGCGACCAGATCACGGGCTACTTTGAGAAGCAGCGCCTGGCGCAGGCGTAGAGGTGGGGATCACTATGTTCCCCTGCTGGACCCTGGACGCAGCTCACAGGTCCCCCGGCCAGCGCGGCCGGGAGACGAAGAGGCCCTGCAGAGCGGTGGTTGGGTTGACGTGTCCAGCCTCGCCGCCCAATTGTGCCTCGGCTGACCCGCCTCGGGGCTGCTCCGCCCTGTGCTGCCGTGCCAGCTCATCAGTGCTCCCGACCCTACCATGCATGCCCCTCCAACAAACCCCACGCTGCACTGAGGAAACACCCTCGTCCCCGGCAGCATGCAGCTCCGAGCGGCTGCACACGCCTACTGGGGCCCTTGGGTCATCCTCATTTTCATGCCTCTCGCTCTGCTCTTATAGAATCTCCTGCACATTGCTGAAAGGCGCCCCTAGAACCTGTGTCGTGTGCACTGCATGTATACAGCTGCACCCATCAGATGGAGGGGGGAGCACAGTACAGCGACTAGGTGCCTGGCCACCACGGCATGCAAGAGCAGGGGAGTGCACATGTCATCGGTGGTGCTCCGAGTCAGGTCAGATGTCCGTGGGCCCTCATTGTGTGTCATCCCGGCGCCTGGAGGGGAGTTGGGGCACAGTTTCAACCCCAGCGGCACCGTGCTGATGCAACCAGCGCGCCATGCGAGAGCCAGAGCCTGCATCCCTCGGGCTGGCAGGCTAGGTCTCAAGACAGTAACTCATCAGTGTCATCAAAGGCTGTTTCCTGGAATCCTGAGCTGCTTGCTGGTGGGTGTCTACCCACCTCCTCTCTCGGGAGGTCGTTACGTGATTCTCCCCGCGGCAGTGACACGACGTGCTGACGTAGATGCGCTTGACAACACCAGGAGCACCCGTGTACCCTTTATGAAACGGGTTGCATGCTCGCAAGTCACACATCCCACATCTCAAACCATTTCAAGGAGACCATCACCGCAAGCTCACCCGTCCTCGAGCTTACCTCCCAATACATCTGCATTCCGTAAGGTGCGCTGGTGGTCATGGTGTCAACGTGTCGAGGAGCCCCCTTGGCGTCGCTCTCACCCTGCCGATAATCTGCACCTTCTCAAAGTAATGACTCCGAAACTATTATCATTGTAAACCTGCTCCCTCCGCCCACCCTGCAGGTCCTAGCCATGTCTGCCAACGGCATTTCCGTGCCTGCCGCTCCCGGCCGCTTCGATGGCATCGTCCGCCCCTACTCCGCGGAGGACGTCAAGCGGCTCCAGGGCAGCGTGAAGGTGGAACACACCCTGGCCCGCATGGGCGCTGAGAAGCTGTGGGAGCTGCTGAAGACGGAGGACTACGTGCCCGCCCTGGGCGCCCTCTCCGGCAACCAGGTGCTGCTGCTGAGCGGGAGTATGTGTACTGTTGACGGGGGGCACCTGCCATGCCATGCATATCTTTTCGCCCCCCCATGACACCCTCCGCATTACAAACATTCATGCCCCTTGCCACCCACCCTCTCCTCCCAGCCAGGTTAACCACCCGTCTAATCATCCCCCAACCACCAAAACACACCCACAGGCCGTCCAGATGGCCAAGGCCGGTCTGAAGGCCATCTACCTGTCCGGCTGGCAGGTGGCAGCCGAGGCCAACACCGCCGGTCATACCTACCCCGACCAGTCGCTGTACCCCGTCAACTCCGTCCCCGTGGTGGTGAAGCGCATCAACAACGCGCTCCTGCGCGCCGACCAGATCGAGTGCGCGGAGGGTAAGGTGACCACAGACTACCTGCTGCCCATCGTGGCCGATGCGGAGGCGGGCTTTGGCGGCCCGCTGAACGCGTACGAGCTGATGAAGGCCATGATCGAGGCCGGGGCCGGGGGCGTGCACTTCGAGGACCAGCTGTCCAGCGAGAAGAAGTGTGGGCACCTGGGCGGCAAGGTGCTGGTGCCCACCAGCCACGCGGTGCGCAACCTGGTCGCCGCGCGCCTGGCGGCTGACGTGGCGGGCGTGCCCACGATCATCGTGGGGCGCACTGACGCGCACTCGGCCTCGCTGCTGACATCCGACATCGACGAGGTGGACCGCCCCTTCTGCACTGGCGAACGCACGCCCGAGGGCTTCTTCCGCGTGCGCTGCGGCGTGGAGCTGGCCATCGCGCGGGGGCTGGCCTACGCACCCTATGCCGACCTGATCTGGTGCGAGACCAGCGACCCCAGCCTGGAGGAGGCGAAGGCTTTTGCCGCAGGCATCCACGCCAAGTTCCCGGGCAAGATGCTGGCCTACAACTGCTCCCCCTCCTTCAACTGGAAGGCCAAGCTGAGCGACGCGGAGATCGCCGACTTCCAGCGCGCCATCGGCGCCCTGGGCTACAAGTTCCAGTTCATCACGCTGGCCGGCTACCACGCGCTCAACCACTCCATGTTCGACTTGGCGCGCGGCTACAAGGCCACGGGCATGACCGCCTACTCCGCGCTGCAGCAACGCGAGTTTGCCGACGCCAAGCACGGGTACACGGCTGCTCGGCACCAGCGCGAGGCCGCCACCGGCTACTTTGACGCCGTCAGCAACGCCATCACCTCGGGCCAGTCCTCCACCACCGCCCTGGCCGGGTCCACCGAGGCCGCCCAGTTCCACCACTGAGAGTGGTGCATGGAGGAGTGCAGAGGAGCGGCTGGGCTTGGAGAAATTTTGCATTGGGTCGCGCAGCTGGGTGCTGGCCTCCTCACTGTGTCCCCTTTTCCAACTCTTTGCAGCTCGTGCACAATCTGTCAGCTCCCACAACTTCCCCCACCCCCGCCACCCCGACGCCTTCCCTCCCAAACCCTGCCTTCATGCTTGCCGGGTGCCCCTCCCCACCCAAGTCCCGACAATGCACCGGGAAAATGTACCTCTTAGCAGCCATTCCAGCGACATAGTGTGCCTGTTACATGAACATGATGAGCATCAAGGTACTCAGAGGGGGGTGGGGCAGGTCTGTCGATGGGTGCGGGGGCGGGGCGGGGATATACGGGCAACAGAGATCGACAGACCGCCACGGCGCGCTGTCTTCCCCCCACATCCTGATGCTAGGTGCCGGCGCGGAGAAGGGGAGGCACCAGCCAGTCGATGCCCTGCATGCCATCCACGGTCTCCGCGAGGCGTGCCTTCAGGGCCGCGCCGTCTTCGCACCCCGCGTTAAGGTCGGCCAGGAAGGCCGCCAGGCCCTGGCAGGAGGGCACGATGAGGGAGGCGGCGGCGCTCATCGCGGCGGCCTCGCCCGCGCCCCCGGTGTTGCCTGTGGAGTGAAGGGTTGGGAGGGGGGTTGAGGGGAGTTGTGGAGCGCAGGGGCCAAACTCGATCAGATGGCACTGGTGCCACAGCTGTCGGCGACGGGTATGATGCACTGATGCGCATCTCCTCCACCACACGTGGACTGGGCATCCCGGGCGCATCCTTGATCCCCCGCAGCTAAGCCCAGGCAAACCGTAGAGTGGGTCCTCGATCTCGGTCATGCCCTCCGGGCTGTCTGGCTGGAACTGGCGCAAGTAGCGCACGCGTGTGCTGTACCGCCCCTCGGTGTCGATGGAGTCGAAGACCGTGATCTGCGTGGGCGGGACGTGGGGTGGGGGCATTCGCGCTGGGAGGAGAAGAGGCAGGGTGCGACGATGGAAGTGCAGCTGGTCCTCATTGGTGAGGCACATGATGAATGCTCACACCGGTGTTGGCCCTTCCTTGCTCAGCGTCGGCAGACACCCACGGGGTCAACCCCCCAAACCCCACAGCCAGCCCACTCGCCTCCCGCAGGACGTCAGAGGCGGTGAACTTGTCCATGACGAGCACCAGGTCGCACCGCGCCATGTCAGCCCCCGGGTCAAACTGGCGGGCAGCGAAGTCAGGCGGGATCTCGAGGCCCCTGGCGCGCGCCGCGGTGACGGCAGCGCGCTCCGGACCCTCGCCCACGTTGAAAGACTGGGTGGCCTGCGCGCAGGGGGGGGAGGGGCATGCATTGGCGGGGGCAGCAGAGGCCAGGGCCAGTGAAGAAGGGGGGCCTCCAGGTGATCGGGGGTGCTGACCAGATTGCACATTCACTCTCGCGAACGCAGGGACAGCACTACGGGAGGGGCAGTCTTGTGGGAGGATGAGAGGCCTCAGATGAGTGCCAGGCAGGCAGCGCATGCCCAGTCACAAGCCATGCCTCCCCACAGCTGCAGATCCTCACCTTCTCCTGACCCTGCCCAGACCACAGCTCAAACACATGCGTGACTCACCACCGCTTGGCAGCGCACCCTGTCCTCCAGCCCCACAGCCTGGATCGCGGCCTGGAAGGCGGCGGCGGCCAGGGCTGAGCGGCAGACCCCGCTCTCGCTCACAAACAAGACCAGGGTTTGGGAGGATGGCTCGGGCTCACCCGCCAAGGTGGCCTTGGCCTCCTGGTTCCAGGGCGCCGAACGGAAGGAGGGGCTGATGACGGTGCTCGTGACGTCCAGGTCATCTGCAGCCTGTGGCATGGAGGCCATGGGGGAGCCAGATCGTGTGTGCATGGGGAGTCGAGGCTGAGGCGTGCACATTGGCAGGGCTGTACAAGCTCCAGTCTTGCTGCAGACACACCTTCCTCGTGGCATACAGTCTGTTACAGAGCCCATGCCCATGGCCGATCCCACGGCCGGATATCAACCGCAATGGGTGGCAAGCAGTGGGCAAGGGCATCTGCCCGGGGTGCACCTCAGCACGAGGGGGCTGCACCCCATGCAATAGTGCCATGCTTCCTTGCGACATCACGATTTCACGATGCATGTCATATCGGGTTCATGTACAATTGGCCTGCATGCCGCCGGCCTGCTTCATGTTCACTTCTCGCCTCGGATCGTCATGGAAGGGGATATCTTCCGGACCCACCAGCGCGCAATCCTGAGAGTTGCAAAACTCTAATGGGATCCCTAAACGCTCCTCTCAATCTCGACGAGTGTTCCAGCTTGAACTTGAACACTCGAATCATACATTGCTGCATCGCTGCTCTGGCAACCCCGTCCCTTCTTGCTTGTGTAGCGCTCGGCTAGGCCGATGGCCTGCGCGGTCTGCCAGCCTGCCGTGCAGGCCAGGGGCAGGAACATTTCCAGCACTGTCCATCTTTGTCACACACGGCGTATAGAGGCGGCAGGCACGTCCCGATTGCGACAGCGAAGCGCGAGCGCGCAAGTCTGCCGTGCCGGTGTGGGGAACGACACTACCCTACACCTCTTCTCACCATGCAAGGTGCGGGGTTGCAGGGGTGTCCCACCCAGCCGCAGGCTAATCCCATGAGGCAAGCATTGTGGTCTGCACACCCTTGCATCCTAAGATACACCCCGTTGAGCTTACATCCCAACCCCTCTTCCCATGTGCCCCTCCAAGATCAATCTCTTCCTGCGGGTGGAACGGCGCCGGCCCGATGGCTTCCACGATCTGGCCTCGCTCTTCCAGGTGGTCAGCTGGGGCGACGACATGGAATTCGAGCCGCTGGGCAGCAGCGCCGGCGCGGATGTCCTCACCTGCAACATGCCGGACGTGCCTACCGACAGCAGCAACCTGGCCATCAAGGTCGGACATGGATGGGGCAATGATGGGGTTGTGGTAGCAGGGGTGAGCCGGTGCAGGGGTTGCAGCTGAGCGTAATCTCAGAGGCCAGCCCCATTGGTTAAGAGGGATGCACTGCTGAGCAAGCTGAGCCTGCTGGGGGCACGCATTGCTGGCACGCATTCCCACTCTCATGCATGAATCAATACATGTACGTATACAGGCCTACATCACATGCTCCCAACACAGCACAGCTCGCAGCACGCTCATCGCATAACCCCCGGCCAAACCACTTCACACACACAGGCACTGGACCTGTTCCGCCGCAAGACGGGGAGCCGGGAGCGGTACCGCGTAGGGCTGCGCAAGCGGGTACCGCACGGCGCCGGGCTGGGCGGCGGTTCTGGCAACGCCGCCACGGCCCTGTGGGCGGCCAACCAGCTGGCGGGCCGCCCCGCCGCGGACGACGACCTGCTGGCCTGGTCCGGGGAGATCGGGTCCGACATCAGCGTCTTCTTCGGATCGGGCTGCTCCTACTGCACGGGGCGAGGGGAGGTGGTCCAGGATGTGCGCCCGGTGCCCCTCTCCACGAACACCCCCCTGCTGCTGGTGAAGCCGCCGGCGGGGCTCCCCACCCCGGCCGTCTTCAAGCGCCTGGACCTGGAGCGGTGCAGCCGGGAGGACCCGCTGCGCCTGCTGCAGGGCCTCCAGGGGCTGCGCCGCGCCAGCGCGGCCCTCTGCGTCAACGACCTCCAGGCACCCGCCTTCCAGCTGTGAGTTGGAGTTCTCTGTTGGGGTGCCAGATTGTGATTTATGCAGGGTCGCAGCCCTAACAAGGGTAAGTACTGGCGCGGAAGGCAAAGGTGTGCCCGGTGGGGTCCTGACCGGATGCCCTGGCGCACCGCCCATTAGAGAAAATGAAAGCTGGGCCCTGCGACGCTGTGTGCAAGGGTCGATGATCCGTTCATGATTGTGCACTCCTTGGCCATGAGGTTTCCTCCCACCAATTCGATGAACGCCCCTCTAGATTGGAGGAGCTGGCCGAGATCAAGGGCCGGCTGGAAGGGAGTGGGGCCTTTGACGCGGTGTTCATGAGCGGCAGCGGCAGCACTGTAGTGGGGGTGGGGAGCGATGCCGTGCCGGACAGCATCGCCGCCTGGCGACAGGACCTGTTCCTGGCGCCCGCACGTCCCGTTCTCCGGGAAGAAGGGGCCTGGTATGCGGCGCCCGCCCCCGAACTTCTGCGAGAGCTGGGCGTGAGTGCGGTGGCGCAACCCGTGGGGGGAATATGAGGTGGCGTCGCATGCAGCTTTGAGATGCATGCCAGCCTCTCCAGGACAGGGTGCCTTATTTGGGGTACACCGAGGTGAAATCCAATGAAGAGCATGTTCAGTGTTCCAGTGATATTGACTGAAGGATCCCAGGCTACGACAGATACCATATCAACAGGCGGCACAACAACATCCTGGTCCGAGCGCGTCATTGCCGAACAACGCTCTGCACCACCCCAAACAATGCCCGTGACCCGACGCACCTGACCTTAACACTCGTCCAATATTAAAGCACGGGAAATTGATTCCCTGGACCGGCATGGCAAGCTCCATCTCATCGAAGACTGCAAGCGAGATACGGACTCCCGTGTAGTTGTTGCACCAAACAGGGCCAGCGATGCGGTCGATCCCTGACGCGGGCTGTGAATAGAAGAGAGATGAGAAGGAGATCAGGGCTGGTGCTGATCTTCGCCTGCCTCGGCTGCTTGGCGCTGCTCGCCTGTGGCCAGGAGACTGGAGGAGCTGCAGACAGCAATCAAATTGGCAACAATCCCCCTTTCCCCCAGCCTGTGCACACAGCCTCGCTTGTTTCCGAGGCAGGAGCAGAGGCTGTAGCTCAGGCAATTGTCGACGCCCCTAATTCCCCGGAGAATGGAGAAGGAGGTGGTACAGGCCAAGCTGGTCACCCTACCATGCCCCAGGAGGCCGGCCCCTCCCCACCATCTTCGGAGCCTCTCCCAAACTTTGAGTCAACCCCGGCGCCGTACCAGGTCCCTCTGGAAATGCAGGACATGCAGCCCAGTCCTGAGGAGCTGACCTCCTCCACATTTCTGACACACGGTGTGGGGTGTGCAATTGGGTCATTGGGCTGCCTGCAGTGCAATCGCTCCGTTGCATGCCCTGTCCAGAGATGGAACCACTCCTAGGTGATGCAAACGGGGAATGTAATCAAAGCAATCACTCTTCCCCCTCCTCCCTCATGGTCAGGTGGCCAGGTGGCACCCGGTTCGGTGGCACTCTGTCTCGCCGTGCGAGACGCCCATGAGGACATCCTGGAGTGGCTGCTCCACCACAAGAGGTTGGACATGCATCGAGATTGGCAGAGGCGGTCTTGCCTGGGATGCTTGGGGGAGGTGCGGCTTGACACATGGCTGGGCCTGCCCGAAGAGAAGCCCATGCTTGCTGTTTGAAAACCAGACCAGGATCTCTCCCAACCACATGCCCATGGGCGCTCGCCTGCATGCCTCGATTCAGTGCACTGTATCCTTCCACTGTCCTGTCCCCTTGCACCGACTCGATCAGGCTGGGGGTGACGCGTGTCTACCTCTGGGACAACAAGTCTGTTCCCCCCATGAACGCTACCATCGAGGCCCACATCGCCAGCGGCTTCGTGGCCTACAACTACTTTGATCGGTTCACGCACCCCACGGGTGCTCCACAGCTCTTTGCCTACGACAGGTGCCGCGGAGGCAGTGGGGTGGCGTTACTTGGGCCGCACATCATGGGCCATGCAGAGTGCAGCGACCGCTCACCATGTCCAAACCTGTTGGCCTCTGCATACTCTCGACCCGAACACCAAGGCACCTGCGCCCCTGGGTCCTCATGCTCGGTCCTGTCCCTCAGCTGCTTTCTGTTGTGAAGCAAGCCGCCCACCCCCCGTCTTCAGCCGCCCTGTGCCCCACCGTTCCACTTCCACGCCGCCCCGCAGGTGCCTGGAGGAGGGGCGCCCGCTGCATGCCTGGATGGGCTTCATCGACGTGGACGAGTTCCTCATCTTCCGGGGGGGGGCAGGGCCCATCAGGCACCTGGGCCAGTACCTCTCCACCAAGCACTCGCAGGCAGCAGGTCTCTGGCCAGGGCGCGAGGTGGCTCGGGATGCTGGCCGGATCGCGCTCCAGCCCGTCTCACCGGAGGGGCTGACCTCGCGCCGGCTCTTCCACCTGTGGCAATGCTTGCTTGATGCAACTCCCCTTGCCTCCCACCCAAAAGATCGGCCTCACTCACCCTATCCTTCCCCCACCCCTCCCCCCGAAACCATCAAGGTCTCGCCGTGCACTGGATCCTGTTTGGCTCCTCGGGCCACATGGACCGCCCGGCCAGCGGCGTCCTGCGCTCCTTCGTCAAGTGCCTGCCCCTGCGCCACGCCCAGCACCAGCTGGTGAAGACCATCGTGCGGCTGGACTGCACCGCCGCGGCCTGGAGCCCGCACGCCTTCCACCACAACTGCAGCGGGCAGAGCGTGGCGCGAACCGACGGGTCCCCCATCGAGGGGCCGCGGGCGGAGGAGCCCACTCACGTCGACCTGGCCCTGCACCACTACGCCACCAAGTCGCGGCGCGACTTTGAGCAGAAGATGGTCCGCGGCAGCGGCATGAAGCGGCAGAGGTGCGGGGGAGGGGCCTTGGAAAGGGGGGGGTGTGTTTGAGGAGAGGGCGGCGTGGAGGAGTGAACGTGGGGTGGGCGCCGTGGAACGGGACCCTGACGATCCTGTGGGCAGGCACGAGCGACGCTGCCTGATGAACTCGGAACACAAACAAGGCACACTTTGATGAGGGGACCGTGAAGTTGGACCCTGTAGATCGTGGCCAGAATCACCGAGCTCCCTGCCCAGCCGAGACACCCCTTGCGAGCCATGAGGGCACAAATCCCCACCCCCCCACTCGAACCCCATCCCAACCCTTCCCCTGTGACCCAGGGGCTGGGAGTACTTCAACTTCGTGGACAGCTGGAGCGTGGTCTGGAACTTCGACGCGCTGCGCATCTGGGACGACGGCGCCATCCGCACGATCCGGGACCCGGCAGCCGCGGCGGCTGCGCTGGAGCAGTACCGCGCCGAGATGCACGAGGACCACTGGCTCAAGGGGCCGTGAAGGGGGTGGGTGCCGTGCCGGCGCGGGCGCGCCTGATCGCTTGCCATCCGCGCGACGCAGGGACCGGAGCCACACGACGGCGGCGCTGCAGCCATGGTGCTTGGTCAGAGGGCTTGGCCTTCTACCCCAGCATCATGCTTGTCGACGTGTCCCGCAGACCCTCATTGGCGCTCAACCATTGTACGGATGCAAGTCACGGCAAGAGGAAATCACATGAGTAGGGAGCGCCGGGCTACACGCGCCACACCGCTGTTGTCCTCCCAGCGACTCGTCGCCGCGCTGTCATCGCGCCGGGCGGCCGTAGGCCTTGTCCGCCATGGCCCCCACGGTGCTCGCCTGCACCCGCTCCAGCTCCCGATCCACGACGTCCTGTAGGCCGCGCAGGTCGCGCAGGTACAGCATGCGCAGGATGGTAGCCGCCGCGTCGGAGAGCGGCGATCCGGTGGAAAAGCCGAGCGGGAAGCCGGCCAGCAGCGCGATCGGGCCGGCGGCTGAGACGCCCTGCCGTCCAGTCCCGGAGGGGGCTGCGGTGTCCTCGTCCCCAGGCAAGGCCGGCAGGACCTGGGTGTCCAGCACCGAGCTCAGCCGCTCCACGGTGGAGGGGGTCACCTGCTGATCGTGGGGTTATCAACAGGGGTGGTGGGTACAAGGAGGCTAACACCTACAAATGCTGAGGCTTTGCATACCGGGGCCTTGCCCCACCCAGGATGATGACAATCAAGGCGCCTGAGGTGGGCGCCTGTGCACCCAAACGTTTACCTAACAACCCGCACCTCTTCCTGGTCCATGTGCAGCGTGCGCAGCATGCGCATCACCGCAGCCGCCACTGCAGGGGAGGCTGTGTCGGCAAAGGGTGGCAGGGAATGCTCCGACCAGTCGGAGACGGCGCCGCCAACCTCCACTGCCGCGGAAGTGGAGGCATTCAGCTGCTCGTTGCGGTCTGCATACTCCAGGGACACTGCAAGGGCGTGTGGAGGTGCGATTGTAGGGGAACATTTTGTGCAGGGAGTGCTTCCTTCAGCAGAGCACTCACCCTGGACATCTCACGCACCCGCTCGCGAGCAGAGCCACTGGAGGGTCGCCGGCAGGCCTTCTGACGAGCATGGACACTCCAGTGCGGTCAGATACTGGCCGTAGGCAGCCCGCCAGTCATCGGCAGATGTGGCCAGGAGACCCTGCCGCTGGGGGATGGTGTAGTGCCGGATCTTCTGGTTCTCGAGCCAGGTGACCAAGGGACGTGCTGCCTCCACTTCAATGGAGGCTCTAGTATCAGACGGGAAGGACGACGCGCCAGGGTACTTGAGGGCGCGGAGGTACAGCGGGATGCACGACATCCCGTGACCCCACTAGGTACGGCCAGCACCGGCCTCCTCCCTACAGTAACGTCACCACAGCATTGACATGGCAGATTGAAAGTCTGAATATTGAATGCATGTTGTGTCGCTCAGGGAGGACGGACTTCAGACCAGGGAGCGCAGCATGCGCAGCGTGGGGTTTCGACTGTGACGTAAATGTCGTGCATCCCTCGCACCAAACAGAGGGCGCAGCGACGATGCAAACTCGAATGACTGAAGCCTATATGTAGTTGTTAACCGGGTGCTGTTCGTTCAAAGCAAGGTCCTCTTGGCTTTGCAACTGGTGGCAAAAATACCGGGGCAGCACTGGCTCCTGAAGGCTTGCGCATGTTCCGTGCGGTGCCGCAGGCATCGATATGGGCGGCCACCAGCTCACAATGCTTCACCAGGAGCGGTGTGCCTCCACTGAGGCTGCCTGCTCGGCACCTGCAAGCCAGGTGTCTTGCCTCAAGGCGCGACAGATTCTCCGAGATACTTGATGAAGGTCTGCTGGATGTGGGGGCTCAAGCTTGGGTTTGTGGACGGGAGAGTGCGTGTGCCTGCATGTGCTTTCGTACCTCTGTGCATACCATTCATATGATTGTGATGAAGTGAGTATGCATGGCAAGCATGTCGTGTCATCCCAGCAGGGGCACCCCCATCGCTCCAGCCGGAGTGGGCATCCGTGCTGTCGAGCCGGCGCCAGCTGGCCCTGCGCCAGCCCTTTCAGAGGTACAGGGCCGTCGGGGTGAGCTTTGGCGGAGCCCAGGAGGCCGTCAAGCTGCTGCAACCAGGTGATGCTGCGATGGAGCTCTGCCTGGGATTCTCATGCTCCGACACAGTGGTCAATAGGTGTTACCGAGGTTGGACTAGCGTCGTGAGGTGCAGGGGTTGGAACCCTCTGTAAGAAGCAGTGCACCTCCTGCATTTGTGCCCACCCGACCCTGCCCGTTCCCCCCTTTCCTCCCGCCAGGCTCGCCCCTGCTCATCCAACAGGAGCCCGACAATGAGCACGACGCACAGGCGGTGCTGCTCTGCGACCTGGCCGGGCGCAGGCTGGGCTACGTTCCCCGCGCCGACACCGACCAGTTCCCCCACCCACTGGTGGTCGGGCGGGTGGAGAGCGTGGGGGCCAACCCCACCTCCGGGCTCTGGGGCTTCCAGGTATGAGGGGAGAGGGGGACAGGAGCCGAGGCGACAATGTCCTGCTCAATGGTGAGCGTGCTGCCGGCGCCGCCCGACTGAAGAGTAGACCGTGGCGCGCGATATGGGGCTGCTCGACCCTCAGAGGAAGGCATGCACGCCCCCTTGCATGTATGAACAGACACCCACCCAACACACCCGCCCCCCACCCCCGTCCCCCACCCCTCCCCCGCCCCAGTTTGACACGCAGCCGGGGCTGCCGGCGGTGGGGCTACTGGCCCCGCCCCCTGCCCTGGCCCCGCTGCTGGGCCTGGCAGACCTGGGCCAGGGCGCCGCCTGGGACGCGCACCGCGCGGCGCGGCTGGCGCCCGGCGCGCGCTGCTTCCTCACCGGTGCCCCCGCCACGCGCCTGCTGCCAGACTGGCGGGCGTGGGCCGTGCGGCGCTCGCTCCACTTGGCGGGCTTCCTCCCCGCCTGCGCCCCAGTCCACGCGGTGCTCAGTTCCACCGCCCCGGACGCGGGCCAGGTCGATGCTCTCGCCGCGCTCAACCAGTGGACCGAGGAGGAGGGCGAGGCCTATGTTGGGCACCTCCAGCGCGGCAAACAGTGGGAGGGGCGGTGGAGCGTCGACGTCTCGCTGCTGACCAGGGAGAGGCTCCCCACGCCGCCGGGCCTGCCGCTGGGGATTTGAGCCGCTCTGGGCGGCATGTGCTGATATCTTCTGTATAGGACTACAAGAACACTTGTGGAAGACCTCAAGATCACTGTTACTACGGGGCAAGGGCGGTGCATGCATGGATCATGGGCAGTTGGATGGGGGTGGAGCACGAGAAGGGTATAGGTGGCTGGACGGCACGGGAAGGTTGCGGGGGTGGAGTGCAGGGGTGACGGGCGCACAGAGCTCTGGGGTCGCATCGGGGTGGTGGTTGGTTCAGCAAGCCACATCATACCAGGGAAAAGGTAAAAGGGTCGCTGCAGGCGTTCTTCATTCTGTGGGTACGTGGAGGGGTCTTGGCAGCTACTGGATCACTGGAGGAGTTCTGGGCGAGATGGATGCAAATGCCTCGGGAGCCCAGTTCACTCCTCGAAGTCGAGGGGTCCCGGGAGGGGTTCATGAATGTAAGAGTCACGGCCCTGTACATAGTCTGCCTCATCCTCCTCCGTGTCCCAGTCTGCCATGGGGTCCTCCTGCAGGTGGCGTGCCTGGCTGGTCTGAGACGGAGGGCCAGGTACAGGCATCTTGTGGACGCTGGATCCACTGTGAGCACTGCCGAACAGCTGCCCCAAAGCCTGGGAGCTGCATGCACCCATTGGTGCACCATACCCTAATAACACACACCTGGCACCAAGAGGGAGAGCTGGACTGGTCCTGGGAGGGATATGGCGTGGCGGCTCGCTTCGAAGGGCCCAATATCCTGGCAGCGAGCTCATCCTCCAGCCCCTCCTCGTAGAGGGGTGGGAAGGGACGCAGGCAGGAGACGGCTTCGTCACCATCCTCATCTCCACTGCAGAGAGGCAGGTTGAGGGTACACGTAGAATGTGGAGCTTGAGACAGGGTTTCAAGCCTTCCTGTCGGGGTATAAACCCTTCCTTGCTCATCGCCAGAGATCACCTGGAATGGCTGTCATGGGCGCTGGGAGCGTGCATGAGCCTGACTCGCTTTGGAGCTGGGCCATCCACCGTGACACTGTCCGAGGGCCCAGGGGGCATTCTTTGGACGATGGGGGGGGTGATCACGGGCAGGTGGGCCACGGAGTCCAAGCCATGGCTTCCCATTGACCAATGGCTGGGGGAGGGATGGGCAGCATGCCATGGAGCTAGCAGATCTGCAATAGTGAAGGAGTGCGCATCGGGCTGATGATACGTCCTGCGACGCACCGGATTACATTAATATCGCTTTTTTATGCCACTTACCGACGCGCTGGGGGGTTCCCATGTCTTTCGCGGCCATTGCGATGTCATGAAAGTCGGCTGCCGGCGACTCGTGCCGTTCCATGCCGGGGTAGGAACTGGGACACTCCGGGAAGGCGTCTTGGTGCATGATCACTAGAGAGTGGTGCGTAATGTGCTCTTGGGTATCAGTTATTGATTCTGGTGGCTGTTTTTTGGGGATGCAAGTCCGCACATCACTCGTTCATGAAGGCGTGTGCTTTCAATATTCAAACAATCATGCTTTTCCATGCTTTCCGGCAGATGCGTAACAACAGACATGTGCGTGTGTTACGTAGCTGGGGTGCAGGCACCCCCTGCCCGCATAGTCATTGAAGCGCTCTCTGGGCCCACTTCCCACGATGGACGACCCCCTGCACCGCAGGTTTGGTCGCAGGGATGGGCGCAGGTGCGGACTTGGCTGCAGGTGGCCTGTGCGCGCTGGAGGCTGCCCGGGCCTTCTCGTCCTCACGCTGCTGCAGAGCGCGAGCCGCCTCAAACAACCCCTGAGCGTCGAGCTGCGGCGCGGCGCCGATCACGGCCGATCGTCTGGGCTGCTGTGTTTGAGCTGCACCAGGCCCTGGCCCCGATGCAGCCACAGTCGCAGCACCCGCAGCTCGCCGCCGCTCCTGCTCTATTGTCTCATGGGCGGCCGCCAGGCTGGCTTCCGCCGCGGAGCTCACGCCCGTGCTGGCCAAGCCAGGCTCCTGGTACGGCGCAAAGGCGCCGGTCTCGCCATCCAGGGTGCCCCACACCCCCAGGCTGGGGTGGCAGTACATGCCGGAGTTGGCATCGTAGTAGTACCCCGACCCGGGATCATACATGTAGCCGGAGGCGGGGTCGTACGCGAACCCCGGCGCCGCTGAGGGAGCCTGGCTCGCTTCTTCGGTGGTGGACCCATGCCCCCTTGCTTCCATGACGGCTGACGAGCCGGGCCCATCCCCTGGGCGCTCGCAATCCACGGCAACCGGAGCAGCAGCTGCCTCGGCATCGCCGGTCTCCTGCTCCTCAAAGCTGGCGGGCTCCCAGCTGGTGCCCTCCAGGACACCATTGGGTCCAAGCTCCACCTGCGCTGCCTCGCCCCCACGCAGTCCCTCCTCCGCAAACTCGATGGTCAGCGGCCCAAACTGTGCCTCCAGTGCCTCTGTGTGGGTCTGCGCCACGTCATGAAGAAGCAGGAGGCAGGGGTTATGGTGTGGCTGAGATGTACTTCCATCCCAGGATAGAAAAACAGTGGCATGAACTGCGACTCGTACGCGTAGACCGCCCAGGCAGGCCGCGTCGGCCCACCTGCACCGCAGCCAGCGCCTGGCTGGCCTCCTGGTGACTAGAGAATACCACAAAGGCGGAGTCGGCGGGAGCTGTGGGCCCACCTGGACCTCGCACGATGCGCACCTCCTTGACTGCGCACAGATGGAAGGGGGGGGGGATGTAGCCCCGATCTGTTTGTCCTGTGTTGTCGCTCATCAGCCTGCATCCCTGCAGAACACCATTGCCCGAGAGGCAGAGGCTGGGGCGTGCCGGCGAAGAGCGCTGGCAGCGACCTCATGCCTGCATTCCTGAGATCCTCCCGCACTTCCTGACGAGGGACTTGCCCACTGCCATCCACGCGCACCCTCTGCAACGGGCCGGAACACGGCTTGGAGGGCGGGCCCGTCCACGTGCCGGCTCAGGCCGGTGACTCGCAGCGTGCTCGACGCACGCTGCCTCACCTCCCGGGCGCCTGCCGCCTGCACGCCCTCGCGCGAGGAGGAGCAGACAAAGCAGGCCTGGCGCCTGCCAAAGTTGAGCGCCTGGCACCGACCGCAGACCCAGTCCTCCCTGGGTGTCTTCTGCGGAGGGGGCTCCCAGTGGGGGGGAGGCTGCTGCCGCCCATCTGCGGGCGGGGACCGCCGCGATCGCACTGCCTCGGAAAGGTATGGCTCGGCGTCCCGCCCATCGTCCAATCCAGCCTCCAGGCTCGCCTCATACCGGGTCCGGGAGTCGTTGGGGAGGTAGGCTCGGCGTCTACCGTCCTCCTCTCCTGCGCCCATGGCGGGGTGGAAGACCAGGGATGATGCCGGTGTACCACAGCACGTAGCAGCAAGATGGACACAAGGCTTCTCCATCACCAATGTGCTCAGCTCTAGGACTCACGTCGGCGCTCGCCCTCGTATCTGTCGTGCTGCCAGACTTGCTCAGGGCTCACCCGCCGACGCAGGTCCCGCCCAGGCTCGCGCTCGCGCCGCTCGGGGCTTCCAGACCTTTCCCGTTCGTCACGGCCATCTCGCCGGCCGCAGGAGCTTGCAGCTCTGTGGCGCACGCTTGAGTCGCTCCTGCTGCGATGCTCCTGGGTCAAGTTCTCCTCGTTGGTCTCGCGCCGATGCCGGTGGCGAAAGTTCTCCCTCGACTGTGTGGCCCACACAGTCGACTCCCCCTCTGGGGCCCGCCATTCCTCAGGAGGTGTCCATCGATCAGGCTCCCGCGCCCCACGAGACCTGTCCCGTCTTGCATGAGCATGCGGAGATGGGGGGCGCCTCCATCCATCCTCGCGTCTTGGAGAGTGCCTGTGATAAGGGTGATGGCAGGATTATCACGCTGGAGGGACAGGGGTGCGGGCAGGGTCTGGAGTGGCGAAATGGCGCTCTGCCAGAGCCTCATTGGCGCATGCAGCTGCTTGCCAGCATCACCTGCGCCTGCTCCTGCTCCGTGGCCGCGAGCGAGACCGCCTCCTCCTCCGCCTGTCTGTTGTTGGGTGGCGCAAGGGAAGTCAGGGCCCGGAAGAGTCATCACAACATGTGGGGCCGCAACACCCGGCGCCGCGCATTGTTGGAAACCTTGGGATCCTGAGGGGGAGCGACTGCGGTCGTGCATGGTGTGTCAGCGGCTTCAGCGGAACCTCATCGATGGCGCGGCTTGGGGGACGCCCACTCCGGTGCTGTGCTGTGCAGTCCCGCCGACAATGGGCACAGCTGACCGTCAGGGTGTGTGTAATAGTTGTCTGTTCCCTGCAAGAAACTTCGGTGTCGTGCCGGCCCTGCGTGCCATCGAATTTCTGAGTTCGCCACTTGAGCTCAAGCATGCTGATTTCGAGCGCGCGATGTCGACGTTGAAGGTTTACCGCTGCCCATCCCTCATCCCCTACACCTTGGACACAGTACGTGTGAAGCTTGTACTGTTCCCAATATGATTACACCCCTTCCGACAGTACTGAAGGGGTGGGCTGTAGATTGTGACAGTATGGACCAAAGGGCAGCATGTTTGCCAGAGTGGTTTGTGTCTAGACTGGACAGCCTACCACAACCCCAGAGCAGGGCGTTAATCATTGCTGCCCTCAACCTCAGCCGACAGACCATGGATGTCAACCCATCGACCCTGCTGCTCATCTGGCATGGGCCAGTGCGAGGAGGCGAGGCAGGTCCACCTCGCCAAGACCTCGGCTGCACCGGCGGGGTCTCGAAGACTGTCGGCGCTCCAGGCCAGCGGTCCCCTCTTGGTTACGGCGACACTCGGCGACGAAACGGCTCTACCATGGCCACAGCTGCCACACCCGCCTCGCCCCCTGCGCAGCCAATTCCAACCTTCCTCACGCGCCCTTCTTGTACACCGTCTCCTCCGCCCCCGCCCGCTTCGCGGCCAGCCGCGCGGCGGTGAACAGGTAGTCGCTGAGGCGGTTGAGGTACACCCCCACCGCCTCATCCGTGGCCCCAGCCCCCACCAGTGGGACCACGGCGCGCTCGGCGCGGCGGCACACGCTGCGCGCGAGGTGCAGAGCGGCGGCGGCGTGCCCGCCCGAGGGCAGGATGAAGTTGGTCAGCGGCGGCAGCTCGGCGCTGGCCTCGTCGATCCAGGCCTCCAGCAGGGGTGTGTGGGCGGGATCGAAGGCCGCCCGGCGCAGCTTGGCCTCGCTGGCGCTGGCCAGTGGCGTCGCCACCGCCGACCCGACGTCCAGCAGCCGGCTCTGGATGGTGGCGAGCTGTTGATTTGGATGTCACCATGGCTCGGTGTTAGGTTTGGTGTTGAAGAAGCTGTGCCATCAGGATGCCGGGGCGACTTGGGTAATGGCACATGTGGCAGCGGCCCCTCCAGACCCTCAACATGCTGGCAAGGCTTGGGATGCTGCCTTTGTTGCGTGTCGCACGCGACCGGGAAGAACACACCGTAGCGCACCTGGAGGGCCATGCTGGGGTCGAGGCCCCTGACATGCTCCCCTGCCACGCCGATGGCGGAGTTCAGCTCGTCGACGTCGCCCAGGGCCGCAAAGGTGGCATCATCCTTGGCACGACGCTCGCCGGTGTACAGCGATGACGTGCCCTTGTCTCCGGTCTTGGTGTAGATTTTCATGCTGGTGAAGGTTGGGGGCAGGGGTGAAGCACGGGAACCCATCTAGAATGACCATGGGCGGCGCATCCCATCACCGATCAGCCGTCAGCAATCTTCAATCGATCTCTTGATACCTGATGCCGGTGGAGTGGTAGGATCTGACGGCGAGGCTGGGTGCTGTCCTCCTGAACAAGCCGGTCGCCAACAGGGCCAGGCCAGACATGCAGGGGGGGGGCTGGGATCCTTGCAGGCGCTTGGCTGGCGATCGATGTGGGGAGAAGGTTCAACCTAAGCCTGAATGTGGATGGCCTCCCTGGTAGTATCGCATGGACGGCGAGGCTGTGTGGACCCGAATGCAAGGAATGCCGGACCCGCTCCATATCAGATTTCCCGACATGCCATGTCGTGCGTGCTGTCCCGCTGGCTGGCCATTTCGAAACTGCAAACTGAAGGATGCCGACGACCTCGCCAATCAACGGGGCCGGAATCCGAGGGGAACGCGTGATAGAGCAGCTCTGCAGAGTATCGCCCGTGAAGATGGCAGGCAGTGGAGCTCCTCGTGTCCTCATCAGCCCCAGTGAGTGGGGATGCGAGACTCGACAGCGCGTGGTGTGTGCCGATTCCCTTAGCTGACAGATCGCATGAATAAGTAAGACTCAGTGAACCCACGAAACTGCAACATAGAGCTGGAAGCCGCATGCGGTCATGGCGACGGAGCTCCCTGTTTCTTCACAATGTCGCATCCGGCAACAGGTGTGTGTCGTTGCCAATCATAATGCATGGCTCAGGCATCCCGCTGCAAAGATGGAAACTGCAGGCTGCAATCCATCATTATTGTTCCTGCAGGTGATGATGTCACGTACCTGGCCACTGCCAGCACCATCTGTGAGGTCAATGTGCACAAGCCAAGCTACACATCATGGTTTGTGGGCGACAGCGTGGTGGAAGGTACGCCCTGACAGCAATGATTGCAGCGTTGGCGAGCTAAGGGCATATGGGTTTTAACATGACCTTGAATACAGCAGGGTTCTCATCAAATATTCAGTCCCTGACTTGATGCCCACCCACAGATGGGTCAACCTACCTTGCAACGCCCATGGACCCGCTGTTTCTCATTCTGCCCGCCTTGGAGCGAGCCTGCACCCGAGGTTTCTGCGACACCGAAACCCTGCTTGAAGCCTCAGGGCTACCGCCCTGCTGTTTCTACATCCTTGCCAAGACTAACCTGGACAGTGTGTGTAGCTCCAAGGCCGTCATGGACCAGAAGTACTATCAGCTTGACGAGACAAAGGTAGGACGGAGAGATGTTGAGCTGTAATGGGGCACACATAGTAATTGATCCCTGCGTGTGTTGCACCTATGTCCATACCAAGCATCTCATCTGGACTAGGAAGGGGAGACTATGCTGTTGACCCCAATAATAATGTCAGGATCACCCTGCACTCTCATCACGTTCCACCAACCACATCCTCCTCATAGACCCTGAAATGGCTGAAGACCAAGGTCGAAAACACCAAGAATGGACTGCGATCCCTCAGGTATGGGGGCCAAACTCCTGCATGCCGTCGACGCGAGTGTGAAGGGCCGACGAGCGCAGGTTCCATTGTTTGCCATAGGCCTCCGATGCTGCAGCCTGTGCTCACGTCAACTGATCGAATTGAGAGTTACACGCTGCAGGAATCCAGAAGCTCACATCCGAAACCCCTGCATAGCACCCACAGATCCCTTGGCTGGGCTGATGCGGAGGAGGGGGTGCTCCTGCCGTATGCTGTGGGCCTAGTGTGTGAGTATCTTCCTCCCCACCGTGTGGAGAGTCTACGAACTTATTTGAATGTTGGGATGGAGCCAGCCAGCCCTGCTGTGGCAGGCATGCCCTATCCAGTATCTGAGGTCGACACCCAGCCAAAAAGGAAAAAGGTGAGCTGCTTGGGGCGGTATCCTGTTGGATGCATTCAGATGGGGACAGTGCCTGCACGAGTTCTATGTGGAACAGAGAGTACCTTCATCGTCTCCATTTGGGGCTCATTGCCCTCCCTCCCTTGCTTCTTCAGTTGACCCCGGCGGAGGCAGCTAAGCTGAAGGCAGCTGAGTCACGACAGCTGAACAAGGCAGCAAAAGCAGCAAAGGAGGCAGCAGGCACGAGAAAACTGTCTGGTTTCTTCAAGCCCAGGGCAGGCACCAACCAGAGTGCATGATTGCAGCTCCAGCTCGTCTCACTGATGTGTTTTGCTTTGCTCCTCAGATCAAGCATGGTATGTGACAGCATATTGGGATCTTGAGAAAGCAGACCTACATTTCACATTCAGAATATATATTATGAAACATGATTTGCCACAATCCCGCACAGAGGTGACTTGGGCAAACCGAAGTGATGGTAATGACCCTTTGCATCACCACCTAGCACCCTCTCAGGGCCGTCAGGGCTTGCGCAGCAGCCTGGATGATGTGCAGCTGCGCCTCCACCCGGTCCTCCCCGCTCAGCAGGTGCGTCGCCTGCGCCATTTGCCGGAGCACCGCCGCCTTGGCGTCTGCTATGATGACGCCAGCTTCGAGCTGGCTGCCGGTGTCCGGTAGCGAGGCATGAGCAGGGGCCGCTTGGTCGTCCCGCGCCGCCGCTGCTGCTTCAGGGGAGCCAAGGGGTGGGAGGGCGCCGCTCCCAGACTGGTCGGACGTGGTACTCGCCTCGCCAATCTGCTCGGCGGCGGCAGGCGGACGAGCAGCCGGGCCAGACTGCGTTGGCTGCGCCTCGCTTCCCAGGCGGACCGGCATCTTGCAGGAGACGCAGAACACCTGGCGCTCCCGGCTCCTGACCAGCACCGTCGAGCAGCTGCAAGGGGAGGGAGGGGCATCGTTGAGGGAATGGTAATCTACTGCCGAGGCTTCATCCGCGCAACAAGGTTGCCAGCCCCATGCACCGCCATGCCTGTACCCAGCAAAGGCTGACTACACTCGCAGTGGCTCCCCATCCAGCCCACACCCGCCGCCCGCTCACATCGGACACGACTGGCCCAGCAGCGTCCAGCCATGGAGCATGCGGTCCGCCAGGCTCTGTGAGATCTCCTGCTCCCGCTCGTCCTCGGCGGCACGCTGAATGCGCTGGGCCAGGGTGGGGCCCTGGAGCACCGACCCCGGGCTGCTCAGGTCTTCGGAGATCTCAGCCTGCAAGCCCGGTCCTGGTGCAGGTGCGGCCTGCGCCGGCCTGGCCTCACAGGTGACGCACACGGTGTCCTCAGAGTTTGGCTTCCTCATCAGAGGGGTCTGCGCGGGAGTTGTGCAGATGTCATGAAGATGAGCTCTGGTAGCCAGGGGTGCCGTCCTGGAACTCTTGACCCTGTGTAGCAACCAAGCCTCTCCTCTGATGGCTACCCACCCCGCAGTGCTCGCAGCCGTCGGCCAGCATGGCCCAACCTTGGAGCAGGAGACTTCCCATGCTCGCTGAGGTGTTGGATCGGTCTGTGGGGGAGCTCACGTCCATCGCTGGTTGGCCCATGGGTGGTCACAAGGGTAGGGGTCCCCCGCGGCGATGTCAGCGAAAAGATGGTCGATGAGCAGCTCAAAGTAAGTACTGCGATTCAAGAATTTACCAGAGTACTTGCAGCCGCGCTTGCTCGTGCAGAGCCTCGCGGGTCCGAAAAGTCAAATCGCGCGCCAGACGACGGAGTGGTTTTTTGGGTGCGCCATGCTTGCTGCAGGTCCAAAGCAAGCATCAATTCCCAAATCAGGAAAGCTTGTCACGTGCACTGAAATCCACATTAGAAGCGTGTAGCAGCACATGTAAGAAACCGCGCAATGTTACACGTGAATGCCAGGAGGTGCAAAGAATGAGACGGGTGCAGGGGTCCCTCATCGCTTGCCCCTGCTCTTACTGGGCGCAGGTTTCCCTCCCTTTCCCCCCTTCTTCCCGCCCGCCTCCTTGGCCTCCGCCTTGCGCCCGCCCTTGCCGCCTGTCTTGGGGCCCGGCTGCTTGAAGCCCCCGGCACTCCGCTTGCCCTCCAGCTTTAGCTTGGTCCGCGCTATCGCACGCAGGGTGGCCTTGGACACGTGCGTCCGAACGCGCGCCGGCTCCCCTCCCCCGCCGTTGCCGCCGCCACTCTGCACTGCGGACTTTTTAGCCCTGGCGACTCCAGGCCCTGGCCACTCGCCCAGGTCGCGGTCGTCATCGTCGTCATTGGGCCCCGGCCCCGCCTGCTCCTCGTCGCTGCTGTTCAGGTCGATGGCAGACACCGTCACCCGGCTCTCCACCGCCCCGTGGCTGAAGACATGCACCCTGCGCTCCACGTCCTCCGCCAGGGAAGGCGCCGCCGGATCCAGGTCGGGGCCCAGGGTGGAGTACCGCTCCTTCAGCGCCTCGCGACGCTAGAGTGGAGGAGGGAAACGGGGAGGGTGTGAGGGCTCGGCACGAGCGTGGCACACCTGGAAGCCGCAGACGCCCCGCCAGTGGAGTATAGGGGATGGTCGCATGCGTCGCAGCCGTCCTCCAACTGGGGCGGGGTATTTTCTGCTCAGCCAGCTTCCCCAGGCTTGCGGCATAGACCCGGTGATCCCATCCCCTGTCATAGCCATGCCATAAGTGTACGGCAACCCTGGCTCCTTGAACCCCTTTCCAAACTCACATCAGCGCGCTCCTCCAGGCGCTGCTGTTTCAGTTCCTTCTCGACCCTGGCAACGGCATCCTTGCGCCGCTGCTGCTTCCGCTTGTGGAACCCGTTCAAGTACTCCCTGTGGTGGCGAGGGATATATTAGAAGGCTGGATAGAGTTCCGCACTACCAGATGCCTGCATACTGTGGACACCAAAACCCACTTGGCGGAGCCTGACCACACAAGGACAGGCCCTGCAAGCTGACAGCATCCGCTGGGCGACACACTTGTGGTCCTGGGGGTCGAACACGACGGACAGGGCCTTGTTCCGCTGCGCGCGTTTGGCTACATGCACGGGCGCCTTGGTCGGTCCTCGGGGAACGAGCAGACCGTCCGTCTCCTTCTCGCCCATGCTCTGCCGCCCTCTTCCTCCGGCAGCACTGCCCGTCGCCGAGTGTCAACGACCTGAAAGGTGCAAACAGCGGACTCACCGCAGGACGACTGCGTATATTGATAAGGTCGAGGGCATAAATTGACGTATGTATGCAGTCGACCCGAGGAGCAAGCGCACCGTTTATCACCTTGCATGAATGTCGTGCCGACACATTGTCAGGGCGCGCGCGCTCGCCCGCTGGCTTCTCCTGGCCTGGAGTCCTGATTCAACATTTTACACTGCATCCCCGTTCACAGTGGTCAGCAGACTCGGTGCGTCGCACCACCCGGTAACGTGCACATCCTGCAGCTCGGATCTTCCCCCCTGAGACTGCAGGAGCGGGCTCCCCCAGTCGGGGCGCAGGGGCCGCAGGTACTCGACCGCAGAATCCCGCACGGCCACCGCCGCCCCCTCGGTCACGAACAGGGCATGTGAGGTGGTCCCTGGCACCACGCCGCGGTCGCTGGGCCGGAAGTCCAGCCCCGCGTACGGCCAGCCGGAGCGCCAGGCCATGGTCAGGTGCGCTTGGCTGATGCGCAGGTCGCTGACACGCCCCGCCACAAACACCCCCGTCTCGGACCGCGCCTGCACGCGCTCCACGCTCACGCCCCTCACCCTGCCCAAGGGGCCCCCTGCCACGCGAGGGACGGCGGTGACGTGCAGCGCCTCCCCGCCCCCCCACCAGCTGGGGTGGTAGTGGCGGGCGTGCAGGCCAATGTCCCGGAAGGCGATGCGCTCAACGCTGCCCTCGTCCCGCAACTGGATGGCCAGGCCTCGGTGGGAGGGCAGGATCTGTTGCACGTGAGCGGGGAGGCGGTGGGTTGGGATCATGGTCAGATCGGCCAAGGCTGGGCAGGTCCAGGGGGTCGTCCCCTAGAGGGGCTGGCGGGTCGTGGGGTCTGATGGGTGAGGGGCGGCTGGATTCCCAGGGACACATTCGGTCGCGCTTGGCCATGCACCCTGAGGTGATGCACAGAGTCCACTCTCCTTGCCACATGAGTCGACCACCCGGGGTCCGCCACCCCATGCGCAGCACCCTTCCCACCTCGTTCCCCGCTCCCACCTTCCCTACAGCCCACCCTCACGCCCACACCGTGAGGTCACCGAAGGTCACGTCGCTGATGTCGGCCCGGGTCTCGCTCCCAACCTTGACGGCGGCGGAGCGGGAGCGCAGCGTGCAGTTTGTGACGCTGACGCGGCGCGTGGGACGCCCCGGCGTACACGCCTTGAGGCACACTGCGTCGTCGGCGGTGAGCACGGTGCAGCCCCGCACGTCCACGTCCCAGGAGCCGTCCACATCCACGCCGTCGGCGTTGGCCACGCCCCACTCGCTGTGGATGTCCAGGCCGTCCAGCGCGACGTGCACGCTGTGCCTGACATGCAGGGCCCAGTACACGGGGTCGCGCAGGGCCAGGCCCCGCACGCTGACCTGGCGGGAGTCCAGCACCCCCAGCAGCCGGGGGCGGCACTCGCTGGGCACGGGGCAGGAGGGGTCAGCCCAGTCCACCAGCGCTCGGCGCCCGGGCGCGCGAACCTTGTCCCAGGCGCGGGCGTCCCCGTCCAGGGTGCCGCCGCCGCGCAGGCTGCATCCGGTGCAGTTGCGCAGGGCGATCAGGTACCAGTCTGGCTGGGTGGGGCCGTAGTCCGAGCGCTGCTCGAAGGGAAATGGGGGGGGGGTGCCTGAGCTCTGCGCCCATGGGAAGGGGGGGAACACCACATGAAACAACAAATCCATGGACCATGTCAATCTCACCCCAGAACCCGCCCACCTTGTGGCTGGCCAGCAATCGCACGCCCCGCGGGATGACGATGTCGATCGATCCATGAGCGACCAGCCCCCCTGCCAGGAAGGTGCCGGGCCGGTCCAAGACCAGCTGCCCCCCCTTGGGCACAGTCGTCCAGCCCCGCCTGGAGGGCTGGGGCGCTGGATGACCTGCCAGTGGGGTCCAGGCCAGGGTAGCCAGATGCCAGGCAGATCCGGCCTGCTTGCGAGCGCGTGGACGTGTACAGGACGACGAGGTAGAGAGTCAGGATCCGAGGACCCATGCTGACACTGAGGCCGTGGGCGCGGGCGCGGCGGACTTTCGTAAACCTTGCGGACGTGCTGGGCACCGACAGGAAAGGCAGGCCCCAGGGTTACTCATGCCACGCGATGAAAATCATGTACTCATAAACTGAAGACTGAATGTAGATCGATGCATATTCGAATTGTTTGCTCAAGGTCGATACTTTCCCAGCTCCATCTACAGCGGTATCGTCGCGGGGATACTCCCCACAGCAGGCTACACACTTCCCAGCTGAGAGCGAGCGCAAGGTCAGTGAGACCTCAGAATTACGGCTCGATACCTTCTAGACCCATAATACATCTTGTACAAGGAAAAATGCCGGGACTGGACGTCAGAAGCTCGACCCAGCAGGTGAGCGGGAGGGCATCGTAGGGGTGTGTCATCGAAGCCGGAGAGTAGTCATGCCGCACAGCGGCACCTCGCGGGGCGCGGCATCGGAACCAAGATCGCGAGCCATGCATCCGCTTAAGCCTGGCCTTCGACCTTTTTCAGGCCAACGGAAAGATGTATGCCCAGAAGGCATCGAGCGAGGGCTCCTACACCACCCCCGAGGGCGTGACGGTGTTGGGAGCATACAAGCCGGAGTTCGAGTCCATCCTGACCGAGGATGCACTGTCCTTCGTGGCGTCCCTGGCCCGCAAATACTCCTCCAGGTATGTAGAATGGTTTCCTGGCGGATCTTCGATCTGGTTACCCTGTCTTTGATTGTCGGAAAACCCTGCCAGTCGCTTGGACAGACACCAACATCAGCTGACGCACACCGCAGGGTCACAGAGCTGCTGGCTCGCCGCAAGAGCATCCAGGCCGCCTTCGATGCCGGAGCAAAGCCCAAATTTTTCGCCGAGACCCAACATGTAGGTTCATCAGGATTGATTGTGGTTGGACGAGGTGGCATCTTCATTTGGAAAAAGGGGGGAAGAAGTCTATTTGGTCATGACATGTTGAAGGCCTGCCACCCCATCAAGGACCATGTTGGGAACCTGACACGCAAGTAGTGCCTGCAGCTGGATTTCCCCTGTTACCAACTACCCCCACCTATCATAACCCCCTCGTAGGTGCGGGACGGCGATTGGCGCGTGGGCCCCCTGCCCGCCGACTTCCTGGACCGGCGCGTGGAGATCACAGGCCCCACCGACCGCAAGATGGTGATCAACGCCCTGAACTCCGGCGCCAGCGTGTACATGCCCGACTTTGAGGACTCCAACTGCCCCACCTGGGACAATATGGTGCGCGGTCAGGTGAACCTGCGCGACGCCGTGCGCCGCACCATCACCCACACCGACCCCCGCTCCGGCAAGCACTATGCACTCAAGGAGGAGGTGGCGGTGCTCACCGTGCGACCGCGCGGCTGGCACCTGTGGGAGCACCACGTCATGGTGGACGGCGCCCCTGTCCCCGGCGCCCTCTTTGATTTCGGCCTCTACTTCTTCCACAACGCGCACCGCCTGCTGGAGAACGGGTCGGGCCCCTACTTCTACCTGCCCAAGATGGAGCACTACCTGGAGTGCCGGCTGTGGAACGAGGTCTTCGTCACCGCGCAGGCGGCGCTGGGCATCCCGCGCGGCACCATCAAGGCCACCTGCCTGATCGAGACGCTGCCCGCCGCATTCCAGATGGACGAGTTCCTGTACGAGCTCCGCGAGCACTCGGCAGGTGGGACTAGGTTTGTGTTTTCTTTCTCCCCGGGGTGGGATGTTCGTAACTCCCCACCTTGTGCAAGCTGGACAGAGCAGAGTCGCTCTGGACTCAGATCCTGGCCGAGTGTCCTCTCACCCCGTGGACTCCAAGCCCTCACCTCACCCCACCCACCCCCTCCTCCTCCCAGGGCTGAACTGCGGGCGGTGGGACTACATGTTCTCCTTTATCAAGACGATGCGCAACGACCCCTCCCGCGTCATGCCCAACCGCTCCATGCTGACCATGGAGATGCCCTTCATGCGGGCCTACACCCTGCTGGTCATCAAGACCTGTCACCGGCGCGGCGCCTTTGCCATCGGCGGCATGTCGGCGGCCATCCCCATCAAGGACGACCCCGCGCGCAACGCGGCGGTCATGGACAAGGTCCGCGCCGACAAGCTGCGCGAGGTGTGCGACGGGCACGACGGCTCCTGGGTGGCGCACCCGGGCCTCATCCCCATCGCGCGTGAGGTCTTTGACGCGCACATGCCGGGGCCCAACCAGATCCACCGCCAGCGGGAGGACGTGGAGGTGACCGCGGCGGAGCTGCTGGCCGTCCCGGAGGGTCCGCGCACGCGCGCCGAGATGCGTCAGAATGTGGCGGTGACCATCGGCTACCTTGCGGCCTGGCTGGGCGGAAACGGCTGCGTCCCGTTGCACAACCTGATGGAGGACGCCGCCACGGCGGAGATCAGCCGCGCCCAGGTCTGGCAGTGGCTGCGGTGGGGGGCCACGCTGGAGAACGGCGCGCCGCTGACCGCCGCCGACGTGCGCGAGGCGGTGGACGAGGAGTTTGCCGCGCTGGAGGCGCGGCTGGGGCGCCACGTCGTGGCCGCGGGGGAGTACCTGGACGCCGCCTTCCTCACCAAGATGATGACCTGCGGTCGCGAGCTGCACGACTTCCTGACCCTGCCGGCCCAGGACATCCTGCTGGCCATGGGCAACTAGAGCGGTGGAGCCGTGGAGCGAGGGAGTCGCCGTGGAGCTGGATGGAGGGGGTGCCTTCCTTTGGGCAGCTGCAGCCCCTGCCATGGCAAGGGTTGGACAGGAGGACGACGCTGCGGGAGGATGGGGTCCCAGCATTGTAGCTGTCGGCACCATCGACACAGTTGGCACGCCCCCCCCCCCCCTCCCCCCTTCCCCCCCGAGGAATACATGTCTGAAAATACCTCCCCCAGATCCTGACCTGCAACATGCCACCAGCCGCATCCTTTTCCCCTTTGCCAAGGAATCCCACCAGTTTTTTTGGCACGTGGTGCCGTCACTACTTGCACCCACCATGTCTCGCTTGCCTCCTGCCTGCCAGGGAACAACCCCAGCACCCTTGGGGACACGATCCTCTGGTCCCTTTGCCTGGTGATTCAAATGTACACACCCCGCACCCACGATCATCAATGGCTGAGCATCAAACAGCGCGGCAAACAAGCAAGGTCTCTTGTCATCAGTCGTGGTGGTGGGACCCCGACCCGGGCTTGACGCTGGGGAGGTGGGTGGGGGTGTCGATGATGTGCAGGCAGGTCAGGCCCACAGCAACAGCCATCCCAATCACGATCAGGACGATGAAGCCCTCAAAGTACAGCGTCTGCAGCAATGGCAGGAAGAAAGGGGGGGGAGGGTGTGGAAAGGAGGTATGGTGTGATGCGGAGGGCTATGCCGCCGGCGACCCCTTGGTGTATTGCGCGGCCTGCTGTCCCTGTGCCTCAATGACTCATCATCACACCACACTGAATTCCACCAGACCCCAGCACTCGCCTGTCGCTGGCAGGTGGCGTCGCACACTGTATAGTTCTTGGTGCCCTCCCGTCGCGCGTACTTGTCAAAGCCGAGGCTGGGAGCGGAGACGTACTGGGCCTGCAGGCGGCGCCGCTGGGAGAAAGGGTGGCATGGGAGGATGGTCAGGGCAACGCATGGGCGATGGGTGGGTGTGCAACCTATGCCGCCAACGTGGCACTGGATCGCCTTCCCACCAGGGCTGGCCGAGTCCCAGCACACAGCCTCGTACGAGATTCCCAAACAGGAATCAGTCTGGCTTTCAGAGAAACCATTGACCAACTGACAGAGACTGAATCATCGCAACCCCCTGTGCAACACCACTCAACCCACACCCACCTCACCACACCCCCCTTTCTACACCATTTCCCGTCACCTGGGCAGCCACCTCGCCGGCGGGGAGCTCGACCACCAGCATGAGGGGCTGGCTCTCGGCAGACAGCCGGACCACCTCGTTCAGCAAGGCGGGCTGCTCGGCTTCCTCCCCGGCACAGACCACCACGACATCGCCCGAGGCCGGCGCGGCCAGCAGGCGCTGGAGCTCGGCCGTGGTGGCTGGGGCGCCAGGGGCTAGACCCTGACACGATCCCACTACATGCGCGCGGCGCTGGCCGGCCAGGATCTGCAGAGCGTCGAAGATCACGCCCTCGCCACCCTGCGACGTGGTCGAGGGGAGTTGACTTAAGTGCGAGATGGTGCAGACCAGGTTGAGGGAACTGGAAGTATGGAGCCATGGCTCCTTGCCCTGCCTGGCTGTGCGGGATGGCGAGGCCAGGACAGAGACCGAGATGGCAGGATGCAAGACATCACACATGTGTCCCCTCCCCCGCCCCGCCCCCATCTATCCTGGCACTCACGGCATGGGAAGCGCTGGGGAGCTGCTTCCAGCCCTCTGCACTATCGAGGCGGGGCTGCAGGGTGGCCTCCAGGCCGGAGTCACGGCTGTGACTGACATACAGGATGATGGGGGTGTCCTTGCCCAGGGGCCCGTCGCTGCGTCCGGTGCTCAGCAAGGCCTGCAGCGCCTCCAGCGTCGTCACAGCCTGCGGTTAGGGATGCATGTTTATTCTAAGAAGTCATGGGCTCGACATGCAGCCGGTTCGTGGTCATGCAGCGGCCCTTGAGCGACTCGCACCTCCTGGTCCACCCCCACGCTGGCGAAGGCAGCCTTGGGTCCCCACGCTGAGATAGGGGTGGGCACCGCGCCCATTGCCGCGACTGCCAGGAGGACCACTCCTAGTACACCGAGCGCGGCCGCCCTGCCTGTGCTCCCGTTGCGCATCGCGCCCGGTTTGGACCTCACAGGGTTTGCCAGGGGGCAGTGGATCGTGGGGCCCGACTCCTGGCTCTGATGCGTCGAGAACTTTGAAAGGGATAGATCAAAGGGTTGAACTCGTTGAGTGCGAATCAACGGGTGATCGCTCCCCTAAGGGCCAGGGTCCCAGGGGCGCGATTCTAAAGGTTCGGCATCGCGCCCCGGCTTGGCAATGTGTGCGTGCCCCTAGCACCACTGGGCCACATGCCTGCCACCCCCTCAACCCCTCATCTTCATCCTTGAATTCCCGCAGGTTGCCCCCACCCCGACTCTTTTCCTGCAGGCAGGATGGTCACGGATAACAACAGGGTGGTGTTGAGCGTCAGGCCCGTGGGCGCAGGCCTCCGCCGGCAGTGCCATGCGTCCACTCCGACCAACCGAGCCCGTCTGGCAGAGCCCAATTCCAAGGTCACGAGGCGCGGTGGCGTATGTCCTTCATGGTGCTCTTCACGCGCGCGTACAGCCGCGTCTCCAGGCGCGTGAGCTTGCTGGCAAAGGACATGGACTTCTCCTGGGACTTCACCAGCTGGCGGCGCAGCTTGACCAGCGCCTCCTGGCCCTCGGCCCACACCAGCTTGGTCTGCACCAGGTCCCCCGCCAGGCGGTCGTGCTCCTCGCGGAACAGCGCGTTGACGTCCGCGCGGTTGCGCGCCGCCAGCAGGTCTCGCTCCAGCGCCTCCAGCCGCCCGCGCAGCTCGCCCTCATTGCCGGTGCGCAGCGCGGTGACCTGCGCCCGCAGCTCCGACAGGCGGGTGGCCAGCTCGCCGCGCTCCGCCTGCGCCTCGGCCAGCCCCGTCACCGCCGAGGCCAGCTCCGCGGTGGAGAAGGCGGCCAGCTCGCGGGCGGCCGCCGCGTCCTGGGCGGCCTCCGCGGCGCCGCCGTCGTGCCCGTGCGCATCTCCTCGCCCCTGACCCAGGCCGGCGCCCAGGGACCCGGCGCGGGGGCCCGCGGCGATGAGCGCGGCCTGCATCTCCTCCAGCGCCGCCAGCTGCGCCTCCCGCGCCGCCACGCGCTGATTCGGGGTTTGGAGGTCGGGGTTGGATGGCGAAGCGTGTGGTGGCCCAGGGGTGTCCAGGGGTCGGCAACCCCCGCATGGGAGCCTCCCATCGGGGCTGCCCATGCACGACCTGCATGAGTGAGCGCGACATGATCACCCAAGCCCCCACCCCCCCAAAACCCACCAACAGCCCCAGCTCACGTCCTGGGCCAGGGCGAGCACGGCCTGCTGCGCGGCGAACTGGGTCTCCACGTCGCGCAGCCGGCTCTCCAGCCCGTCGCGCTCCGCGGTCAAGCCCGCCATGGCTGCCGACAGCGCGGTCAGCTCCGAGTTCATGGTCTCCAGCGCCAGGCTCTGGTGCGGGCTGGTGGCGGAGGGCGAGGCGTCCCCGCCGCCGCCGCGGGGCGGGGGTCCCGCCGCCGCCGCGCGCAGCGGGGACA